CGAGATGCCGATCAAAAAAAGAAGGGCAAGGCGACTGACGCCGAATACCAAAATTGCTCAGAAGGATGGAAGAAGAACCAAGATTACTAAGAAGAATAGACGAGAAACATCACCACAACACCTCCCGTCTCTCTCTCTCTCTCTCTCTCTCTCTCTCTCTCTCTCTCTCTCTCTCTCTCTCTCTCTCTCTCTCTCTCTCTCTCTCTCTCTCTCTCTCTCTCTCTCTCTCTCTCTCTTCACAACATCCCTATGCGGGCAGTCCGTCACCTCGCACCCACATAGAGTTCTCACCCCGCTTAGCCCGAGCATGCAAGCTAGGTTCGCCCGTGTGCCACAGTGCGTCGCGACCCCACGTCAACCCCGCATGCCCAACACTAGCTCGTCGGATCACCCAACTCTCTACTCATCTTCCAAATCTTGCTCGTTAGCCGATCCTCTCGACCACACTAACTTCCAGAATTCTTAGAGAGGGAGTTAATCGGGCTTGCGAAATTTATAGAATGCATGCGTGCGCGCAATACCCAGGATTGCGTCTGAGTAGGAGGAAGAAGGAGGAAGGAAGTGCCTACGACTGCATGGCCAGGCCGCGACATGGGGGACGTAGGCTCACTCCACACATCGATCTGGTCATGCAAGCGTTCAAGCCACAGGGACGCCACAAAAAATATCAAGAACGAGAGGATTACAGTTGCCATTATGCCTGCCAAAAACAAAAATTACAGTTACACGCAAGGATTAGGGCGCGATCCTGGCGCAGATCCTGGCGCGGCAAGGCGTGTGCAAGCAAGAAGCGCCGTGCAGCAGAAATTGAGGTACGCCCAAATTCCTAATCTAAATCCCAAGTGCAAAAAGAAATTCCGAACGAAGCAAATTTCGAGAGCCCACAGACGCTCGACATTTTTTTTTTTTTTTTGAAAACAAGCTCCATCTATTGGTGGGGAGCAGCGCCTGCTGGAAACCGGGTTCAGCGTCCCATAGATACAACCATAACCTCACTAATTGGCACAAACTGGGAACCGGGCCCAGCGTCCATAACGAGTACGTTCAAAAAAATTCATCAGAAAATTTCATGAAAATGAGACAAGGAACTACTAGAAGAATTTAATTGGGCTAAGGATGGACTTTTGGAAATTGACATAACGGGGCCATTACCCGGCTTTGGCTCGGAGAAATTGAAGCTACTTCAGACATGTCTATGACAACTTCATGATTAAGCAAAATTCAGAAACGACTAAGAAAAACCCTCATCGAACCACCTTAACCCCTCTGACAAGACTGACTGCAGCGGAGCCACCATCTCTGCTCCTGCTATGCCATACTCCCATCCTACCAGCTAGCCCCCTCACTGGCAGGACGCGTGATAACCTACCATCTTCTCCCACTCACTTTATTTTCTTTTTGAGGTACCAAAGAACTCTTACCGTCGTTCAAGAAGCATGAGAATAGGCCACAGAGGTCCTACGATTGTTCGAAAAAACTTGAAATCTCACACAAACCCTTCCAATGTTCTTCAAAACTGTCGTACTCCCTGCCGATCTCTTCTAGGTCTCACACCCCCACTTTCTGCTGCGTTACAGGGCAACGCGACTCACCCCAGCTCCGACCAGTGTCGTCTCGGCAGCAACCCTAGGTTGTCCCGTGGAAAGTCCACCCCAAGACATCCCCAGATCTCTCTACCAGACCTCACGCTCCTGCATCGCAGGTTACAGGGCAACAAGCCAGCACCGATCAGCGTCGTTCTGGCATCGAACAACCGCAAATCACTGAGTATAACAGCATTGAAGCCACCTAAGACAAGTTAGTAGGGATCCCAAAGTCCTAAAAAAACATTCCTAGGACCATTAAGCACCCAACTCTTTTTGGGACATTTCGAAAAACTTTAGAAAAATGTAAGAGCGGGGGAGCAAAACTAAATCTGCCTACTATCCTAGATTCCCCCTTCGAACAGATGGGGCATCAGTCCAGGCTTTTAGTCCTTCTACCAGAACTCACTTGATCTTATACCCCCTTCTGCTAGGGTAACACAACACCACAACCCTCCCCAGTACCGATCAACCTAGCTCTGACGGACAGGAAGTGCCTTCCTCCCTTGACAATTCCCTTAGCGGCGAGCCCCTCAGCAGGTTACAGGGTCAATACCTAGGCGCCAACTACGTCGGAGGATCTGGTTATGCCTTCCACCCTCGACACAACTTCCCAGGCCTCAAGCTCCCCCTGGGTTACAGAGCAAAGGCTCCAGCACCGGCCTGTGTCGTCCCATCATCGTCCTTCTAACCTTCTTACCCTAACAAACAACCCTTTCTAATGAAAGTCCCCTTGCTACCTTCCTTCCTTCAAATCTAGCGTTCCCCCCCTTTGGCTCACTTTGTAGCCATCGGAGTCACTCCTTCCCTCAAAAAGCAAAAACCTAACACTCTGCTATAAGCAGCCACCCCCTTGCCTTCTCTCCCCACCCGCCAGTACTGATCCGACCCTAAATCAGTCTGGCTAAGAGGCGACAATCCCCCAATACCGCCTGCCCCCTCCAAGAATAACACCTCCCACCTTGTGAAACCCTCACGGGGGGAGGCTCCAACCCTCAAAGAAGACCCCACAGAAATACACAGCGAGCCACAATTATACCAGTCAGACCAGGAGGTTGAGCTTAGCAAACAGGAAAAACCAATCAGTTGAAAATTCAAAAAGATTGTCCCACGCGACGATCGCGCCTAAATTCTCATTTCCCACAGCAGAACAAGACAGAAGCTACGTCCACAGTTATCCTTCGCGCTCGCTAAGGCGCGATCAGCTACCAATCGTCGCAGGATTACCCTGGCCTCGATTCCGAAAGGAAAACAAGGAAAGCAAGGGCATCCATGCAATTCACCCGGCCATCCCGATTCAACCCCTGAAGTAGTCTTGCACATAAAATCGCGCGGTTGCAAAAAACAGTTTGTCACAGCCTTCTGGGGGGGGGGGGGGGGGGGGGCTGGGAAAGTGGAGGCGTGGGGTGGTCAGGTGCCTGGGAAAGTAGAGGCGTGGGGGGGGGTCAGTCCTCGGGGCGGCCGATGGCCGTACGGCTATATGGCCGTCCGACCGTCCGTCCAAATGGCTTGTACAGACAACCCCCGTTCAACGTACGGGGGACTACACAACTCCGAACTCTGTGAGCCCCGTAGGCGTCATGTGGCTGACAGGCTGTGTGTACGATGAACGGAGAACGAACAAAATTGAACGCCGTTGAACGTGTTCAACGGGCCTGGGGACCCCTGTTGAATCGCGTTTAACAAAAAAACGGGGGTGTCCCGTTGGATTTTGAAAAACGCAACCGACGCGTTGGGCCTCGGACACGTGCCCCTACGTGCCCAAACCATAAAACCGAAAAAAAAAAAGAGAAAAAAAATTACACCCCCCC